TTCCATACACTAGCCAATAGTCACATTAGGTAATACCGCCTACACATACCTCGCGTGTCCAAATATTAATCAGCGACACCAAAACCAGCCCACACTTTAATAATTATGCGCACCTAATCAATGGTACAATAAATCAGAACTTCATTCATATTACATACTATTTATACGAAATTCGCATGCCTCTTTATTCTTGTATTTCATTCGATTTACCATGCTTCTTGTGCATCACCAATTTCTGCCTTCCCATTATTTAATAACATATTATCATAATAAAATCCTAAGTTCCCAACATATACCAATTCGGTTTTTTATGGTTCTTTTCATACAAAATTTCAGGTTCCAATTCGGTTTAAAGTTCCTGATTACACCTAAGTTTATAAACTTTAAATAGCACAAACATCCAATTGGTTCCTATCAAGGTTTCTTTCCTAATAGCATTCTGCCTTCAATTTAATTTTCACCAATGATTAACCATGAATAAAACCCAAGATCTTACTCAAAACAGAATTGGTTTTGGACACAAAATTATTCAGAACTTTATTCATCCATTTCCTGCTTCCCTACTCATGGTGTGCGCAAGGAAGAACCTATTTATTAGCCTGTAATTTTAATTTAAGTAGAACCTAGTTCATATCAAATATTACCAAGACAGAATAGGTTTTATTCAATCAAAACATCAAGGATGATTCATTCTAAAACTTAACTAACCTATGTATAGTGTGCTTCAAGAGGTCTAAGCATGTTGTCCTTTACATTTCCATGTATACTAAGTTTAGATGGTGCCAATGGTGCACACAGCATACCCCCTATATAATATTTTCATCAGATGCAAAGCTAGACCAATGACTAAACTTAATGAAACAGCCCCCAATTTACAAGAGTTATTAATATTATATATACATTCTTCTAATTTTTCCTAACTTCCAATAGGTATTATCATCTAGTCAACCATGACAACATCCTAGGTTTCCAACCCCTCATAGAATCGGTTCCTTTTGTTAATGGGTCAAGGATTTTTATTCACCTTTTTAACCTTACTTATAATGCGCTAGAAAAAAAAAACCTACGACAAGTTCTCCAATTACTCGAATTCAATTAAAACTAGATACCACCACCTATGTGAGTTATTTTCAAGTTCCCCACAATTAATTAATTCTGTAAGCAGGTACTACATTACACATGGTTATACGGCTGCAGCAAGTACATTAAATGACAGAATTTAACTCCCTAAAACTGTTACACAGGCCAAATAAAGTGAGAATTAATGGCGTACAAAACCGACACTACACCAGCCTAAATACAGCAGACGCATGATTCAGTGAATAAAGAGGTAGGTTGGCGCTTGAAGGTACCTGTTCTCGCCTATACATCCAGGGTTCTAGATTGAACCAAGGAACAACCCTTTACGTTCTCCTAATTTCCAATAGTTCGAATCCAGTTGCATGAAAAGGGGAAGAGAAGATTCAATCAGGGCAGAGACACACACATGCAAAGAGAAGGAACTTAAGTGAGTTCAGAGTTGTGAGGAGCAATACACCCCTAGAAATTAACTCACCTTCTAAGAGGTTGCTGCTCGACCAACAAGGAGGAAGGGTAGTAAGCAGACGTTGCAATCTGCTTGAAAGAAGGGGCCTCCATCAAATCGTGAGGAGTGAAAGTGAATCACGAGCTAGGGAACAGAATACTTCCACCATTGCTGCAACACGGACAAACAGGGAAGAAAGGTAAAGAGATTTGGGGTCTTCCCTTTCTCAATGAACTCACGGTCACTGTGGCACTGGTGGAGGGAATAAAAATGGACATGCAACTGGGCAGTGTGGAGCTCAAGCGACGGTGAGAGGGAGATGAATTCAGTTGGTGTTTGGGACATGTTTTGATCGCTGTATCTATGTATTTACGGTTTCTGGATTGATGTTGCCAATAGGATGTGCCGAGAGAGAAGGAACAATTTTTGTTAATTGGCATTCTGAATTGTTAACCAAGGTCACAGCCTATGCACCTCTCATCAGCGCTCTAGAGGATGGATTTGGATGGGGTGGAAACTTTCAGCCAATAAGACTACAAACTTAAAGAATGGACCAATAATAATTCATGCATGTTGATTTCCTTTCTAAAATAACCAATGGATAGTGTAGGGAATTTTAAGGCTGAATGGGGTCCACCCTCTAAGTTAGGGCCGTGGCCCATTGCTAATGAATGTGGTCTAATTTATCTTCCTTTGGCTCCTAAATTTTCATGTAATTACTAAGTATCTTCTAGTGTTTTATTAGGAGATGTAATTAAAATTAAACCTATCCCACACCTACATGTAGTTCAATTTCATGGTATTACCCCACACTCCGATTGCAATTTAAATAATGTCTCAATAATTATCCTCCCACGGGATCACTAGGTAATAATCAATGTTTTTTTTACATTCAAGGTAATTAAAAGTATTTAAAATTTAACTTATCCTATCCTCTTCACTAGTACTTAAATTTTCCAAAGTACTCACTTGCTCAAGATTATAATTCACACAAATTTCGTGGATTAAAATAAGTCTACCCTAAATAAATATGCATATATATACATCGAGTTCTAAACAAGCCTTTATGTTCCTATCTACAATTTACATAATTTCCTAAATTAGCGGGATGTTACATCAGCCAATTGGGCAAGAATCCATAGGATTTCTCCCAGTCACCATACAACTTAACAATGGCTTTCATTTTTGCCTTCCAAGCCTTCCTGTACGTGATGTTGTATCCATATATTCCTTGTATCCTCTCTTGTATCAGAACTGGTTTTGTAGCTGGATCTTCCTTTAACATGTCTGTAAAAAAAATTAACACAACTTTACCATATTCTCAATTAGAAGATTCGTTAAGTACATGGTAGAATACATACTTATAATAGCCGCACAGATTACATCTGAGTCCAACTGTCTATGATCCTGTGAAAGGCCTTGATTCAGGCATGTGTGATCTTCACCCCATTTACGGACCACCCAATTACCTCCCTTCTTGGGCTTGATTGCCCTCATAAACCATGGACATCCGTCAGTATGGTTTCTACATTTCATAACAAATCTGGACTCGTCACTTTTTTCGACTATGGTTGTCCTGCGCCCCTTCATACAATGTATCTTCACAACACGTTGCATTTCTGGTTTGGAGCCAAATTCTTGTTGCACAAATAATGGATCTCCTAACTTCCAACCTCCGTGCAAGTCATCATCCCCATACAGGATCTCCAACTCGTCATTAGGGTGCGCCCAATTAATGAATGAATAATGTTGGCTTTCATCCAAAATGGCTCTACCGCAGTCCCTGCATCTAAAGCTTCATTGATTATTGTCTGAATCAATATCACCGAATATATATAATTTATTAAAGCAAATGTGAAAATTTAATAACTTACCGCTACTAACAGGGTCAACATGAAGTGGTGAACTGACAGGATCAACATGAAGTGGTGAACTGACAGGATCAACATTAAGTGGTGACATGACTGGGGTACCCAGCCTTACAACGCTCGTGTCAGCGTCAAAATTTTCATCCACGTCAGTGTCTGACGAATCACCCTGTGGAATAGCACTTTCAGATTCTCCCTCATCTTCGCTGTCCACATACTCCTCATCTTCATCGTTTTCATCCTCATCCATTGTTACCTGAGCAGGTGCATATGATCGTACAATTGTATCTTCTTGACCAATACAGTGCGCAGTGGTTGTATGCACCGGTAACGATGAAGACTGACCAGCATCAAATTCAACATATATCTCAATCATTTTTAATACTTTCCATCCAACATACGCATCTGTGACGAACTCCACATCTTCATCATCATTGATATCGTTACCAATGTAGTATATTGTATCCATATCCACAACAGTCTCTAACCTGGCTATCATGCGGTGGATGGAATGGATGCCTTCTGACCCCATTTTTTTGGAGAATTATGTCCTTGAGTTCATTGCATGTAGTGCCCACTTTGATTTTCATCGTTTTTGTTTTTCCTTCAAATCGGACACCATTCGGACCTTCAAAATGCCTCCCATTGTAGTAAATAACTATAGGTACCATGATAGGACTTGAACTCATCTTTCACACGAAAATTTGGGTTTAGGTTTTGGGTTTGGATCTTGGTTCGGATTTTTTAACACAAAATGGAAATGTGGAGGTGTAATGCCAATGTCCTACCAAGATTAAGCTTTTTGAGATGATGAGATGAAATATATGTGTCATGTTTCAGAATAGAGACGTGAAGGGAAACTGATTTGGGAAGAAAAAACTCTACCTCGCAACAATGGCCGAAACCCTTGGTATTGGGTACCCTATTGGCGAAATCTACCCGGGTAAATAATTCAAAAAAATTTCAGATTGAAGAACAATACCCGGGTACCCCACTCCATACCCGGGTATGGTTGATTTTTTTAAAATATACCCGGGTATGGAGTGGGGTACCTGGGTATGCTTCGTGGTCAACGGTCAAACAGGGGCAGATTGATGTTATGTTTGTTTGGAGGATTAATTTTTCGTAATAATTTCTAATCGAGGACAATTTGATAAATAATTATTAATAAAGAGTACAGTGGACAAAAAGCCGATAAAAAGTCGTTGTTTCAACTTACATAACCATTAATTCGAATTCGAGTGACTATTTATTACTTCACATAACAGATGAAGTAGAAAGAGAGAGGATTTGAAAACTTTGCTGTGGCGGCAGGCCATTGCATGTGCCTATTTGTCTTCTTGTCTGAACTTCCCGTCGTCCAACCGTACATTTCTTCCGTACTTTACAGGACATGTAGAGAAACGCGTTTTCAAAAAGATCAAAATATTCCAACAAAGCAGTTTATTAACGGATCCAATCTTATTATATAATCACCGACAACCGCGTATTCAATCTATAAAACCAGGCACTTTCTCCAAGGATTATAACGTAGTACACCAGTACCTGCTTGTAATTCGAGGAAAGAAAATAAAAAGAAAGTAAAAAGTTGTTTGTTCGGTAAGAAAATGGGGCCTATCTTGATTTCTTATAGTTTTCTTCGGTATCTTCTCTTGGTTCTCTTTTCAGTTAGAAACCACGTCCAAGCTAACGATTGGCTTAACGCTCATGCAACGTTCTATGGGGCCAATCAAAATCCTACCAGCCTTGGTAAGTCACTTTTAATATGTAAGAATCATAAGTTACATCTAAATCTCTTGCATAGACATTATTATTTTGATATATGTACATAACATGATCACATGAGACATCAATAGCAATAATGTCTATGTTCACCCTCATTTTTTTTACGTAAGAATGCATCATTATATGACAAAAGAAATACAATAATAACACAAATATAAAAATTGAGGTAGGATTATTTTATACCGATGCAAATAATAAAAATCTTTATATATCTTTATAGTTGATCTATTTTTATCCAATAATTTTAATTTGTTAGTAACATTAACCATCATATAAAAGTGAGATCTGTAATTGAAATTAAAAGTGTAACTTATACTAATGTCAATTACCCCTTCCCCCACCCACACACACAAATTAGTAAGGGAAGAAATGTCATACAATCAGAAATAAATTCATCCTTTATTTCTCTACTTAAAAAAAAAAAAAATCCTTTATTTATTTCTATCTTAGCATGAAGCATATATTTGTCGTTCATTGTGGATATATATTGGATCTAATTGACATTGAATTTTGTAACATATTCAGGGGGAGCTTGTGGCTATGATGATACCTTTCATGCTGGGTTTGGGGTCAACACTGCGGCGGTAAGCACTATGCTTTTCAGAGGTGGTGAGGTTTGTGGTGCTTGCTACCAAGTGATGTGTGATTACCGTGTCGACCCAAAATGGTGTCTCAGAAGCCGCAGTGTGACAGTAACTGCCACCAACTTTTGCCCTCCAAACAACCGTGGAGGGTGGTGTGACCCCCCTCACCATCACTTCGACATGTCCATGCCTGCTTTCTTTCGCATTGCACGACAAGGCAATGAAGGCATTGTTCCTGTCCTTTATAGAAGGTAGTAGAAATCTCTTCCATCTTTTATCATGAAACCAACATCAACACAACTAAAAAAGTGCAAAAGGACAAGCCTAATTGATGTCCCTTTTGCATCTCATCAGGAGGAACAAGTATAATTTTAATTTTTCAGATTTAATAATATGAAATAGCAAGTGATGGATCTTAAGAACGTTGAACTTGAACCTCAAATTAATTTTTTTTTTAAATGTTATTATATATGGCTTCAATTACTTGATCCGCCTACAATTCTAACATTTTGAGGTTTAAAAATGGTAACATTAATCTGTTATGCTTGTGGGATCAAGAGGATCAACTAACATTTGTACAAAAATAATAAATTTTATACTCAATTTTAGCTTGATCCCACTTGCATCTAACATCTTAAATAATTAATAAATCAAAGTTTATTAATTAATACAAGTGGGATTACGCTGTTGTAAGTTGATAATCAAAAGAAAAGGTTAATTGATCTAGCTATAGTTAACTATTGGTGCGGGGGAAGGGTAAAAAAAAAAAAAACTATTTTTGAACATTGGCAGATCCAAAGAAAGGGTGTGGGTAGCGGTCTTCCTTCCCTAAACTTTATTTTTTTATGTATTATATACATAAAATGATATTTTTGTAATAATAATAATAATAGATTACTAATCCTAATAATTAGTCTCTCCCTAAAAATAGTTGTAATAGTTAACCCCTTTTCCTTTAGTCTTAATAACATTCATAACTTTAATACTTATTAATTTTGCCCTTTTATGAGACATGTTGATTATTGACTGACTCATATCTATGTGATGTACTTGAACGAATTAAGGGTGGCATGCAAAAGAAGAGGGGGAGTGAGGTTCACGTTGAAGGGGCAATCAAATTTCAACATGGTGATGATATCAAACATTGGTGGCAGTGGGGATGTAAAGGCCGTGTGGATCAGAGGTTCCAGAAGTGGAGCATGGTTGCCGATGCATAGGAATTGGGGTGCCAACTGGCAAAGCAGCGCAGATCTCAGAAACCAGAGAATCTCATTCAAGTTGACTTTGGTTGATGGGAAGACATTGGTGTTTCTCAATGTGGTCCCTTCAACTTGGAGGTTTGGACAGACATTTTCATCACATAATCAGTTCTTTTAGCTGCAAAGAGTGACATCAAACACGTCCACAACCATGCAATTTTTGAAATGCTGGATTGGAGGATATGATACTGTTTCATCATCTTCCTTTTTTTTCTTCTTCTTTAATTATATTGTTTCAGACAATTATATAATGCAGTAATTAAGGATATATACGGCATCTGCAGAATTAAATATGTTTGTATATGCTCCAATTGCAAGGAGTATTAAATGTTTGTTATTTCATTTACAAAGAACAAGAAAATTATGATTCAAAGAAAAGTTAACCGAATGTATTAGCCCCACTTTTCTTGTGTGTGAAACAGGACATTAAGTAGAGGCTAAGTCATTTTTCCCTTTCTCTTTATTAGACCCAATTTTTTTTTTCCTTTTTATTAATTAATAGTATATTATATTATCGAATCGTTAATGGGGACAAATTTATTCAGATTTGAACCAAACACAACCATAAGGATAGTAAAATTCTTCCTATTAAATTTTTAACACAATTGTGTAATCGATTCAAATTTGGGATAGTTAAACTGAAACAATTGGTGATTATTCAATTTTCTTTTTGATATGTATATAATTGGATTGAGGTATAAATTAATAATTTAATAAATTGTAACTTAAACATAGGTCGAGTGATTCAGAAGAGGTGAAGATTATACATTTGAGTTGCGACAATGTCTTCTTACATTATTAAAAAATAAATAAATAAAGATAAAACAATGTAATTAAGAGAAAGCTTATATACTTACAACCTATTTTCGTTTACAATCTCTTTCAATAATATCTTAACCATTAATTTCCACCAATCAACTGTTATTATTTTTGTAAATCAAACTCATTAATTAATTATCAATTCGCAATAAATGATAACCGTTGATTGGCGGAAATCAATAATTAAGATATGATTCGTTAGGAAGAACACAACTTTTTAATGTATTTAAATGTAAATTTAGAATGAAAATGCAAAATAAAAAGAAAATAACACAACTTTAATGCATTTAAAAAGTGAATTTAGAAATAAAATGGAAAAAATAATCAAATAATAGATGAACCAATAAAAAATTAAAAAAAAAATGAAAAGCGGCCGGAAAGGAAAATAAATAAACTAACGAGTATCACATATGTTGGTATTTTAAAAATATAAATAATGTAAATTGAAAGAAAAAATATTTGAAGAAAATGTTTAAAATTATAAAAGAAGGGGTAGGATATTCTTACACTGGTGTAAGAGTTAGAAGTCTTACACTCAATCTTAACCATTGATCCACTTGTATCCAATGGCTCACATTACTAAAAGATTTGAACCCTTAGATATAAATGAGATCAATGGACAAGATTGAGAGTGTAACTTACACTGGTGTAAAATGATCCTGACCCATAAAAGAAATATGCATAAAATTTATAGTAAAATTTTAAAAAGATACGAATATTATAACAAAGATATTTATAATTAATTTAATAGATTCGAAGTTAAGAATGACATTCTCATTATTTAATGAAGGGTATGTTAAGAGATTTAACCGGTTTGAAGAGAGTAACAATTTTGAAAGTTTTTAATATATTCGTTCTTTTATAAAAGGGTTATACTTATCTCATTTCGCATGAGAGAAATAACTTTTCAACACACACAAAAGAGGAATAGGTCTCACCTCTTTTTTTTTTCTCTTCTTACCTGTGGGTCCCATTTATAATTTTGTTGTTGGGAATGGAACGAGGGAGCCCAAAACCCTTTGCAAAGGGTGCATCCACTAATGGGCCAAATGATAAACCACAATAAGTGGGCCGACACCACATCTCAACCCAAAACCTTAAGGCTGCAGGTTTATGGGTCTTTCACACTTATATGGTCATCACTTGGTCTATGTCTAGTCTATGTGGTACTTCTTTACAACTCATACTTGATTATTTTCAACATCCTCCCTCAAGTGTGAGACCCAATATCATTCTTACTCTAAGGTCAACTTCTGCGGAAGTCTTTTTTTCTCTTCAAATATTAGGGTCACACTAGCCTTCTGCAGAGGCCTTCCAAACACACTTGGCCCAGCCCAGATCATTGGCTCTGATACCACTGTTGGAGAAAAATTAAGATGCAGAAATATAACTCACAATGTTTGAAGAGGGATTACAAATTTCATAAACTGACTCAAACTTAATATAAACCAGAAACTAAAACTGAAAAACATAACATTAAGAGACACATTACACCCAAATAAACTCTAACTTAATGACTCATTATACTACCCAAAACTGACTCATTATGATACCGTTAAGACTCATCAAACAACTTTAGTGCAGCACATGGCCGTTACATCAAACTTAAAAGACCATTGAATTTTCTAACGGACAAAAAACAAAGAGACTCTAACATTCCCTCCCTTAAAGTGATGTTCTTGAAAAATTCAGTTTACTCCAAATCCTTTGACTTTCTCCATGGAACACATGCCAAGTAATCCCCTGAGCTTTTGAAACGCAACATATTTGAGAGGCTTTGTAAACAAATCAGCAACTTGATCCTCACTTCTACAAAAAATAAGATCAATTATACCAGCCTTTGTAAGATCCCTTAAGAAATGATACTTCACATCTATATGCTTGCTTCTCCCATGTAAAATTGGATTCTTTGACAATTTAATTGCAGAATTATTGTCACAATAAATTAAAGTTGCTCCTTCTTGCTTAAAGTGAAGTTCTTCAAGAATTCTCCTTAGCCAAATGGCTTGGCATGCACAAGCTGTAGCAGCAACAAATTCAGCTTCTGTGCTTGACAAAGTGACAATTGGTTGCTTCTTCGATGCCCAAGAAATAGCACCTGTACCAATCATAAAAACATAACCTGATGTGCTCTTCCTGTCATCTTGATCTCCTGCATAATCACTGTCAGTAAATCCCACTAAATCAGATTTTACACCCTTCTTGTAAAATATCCCGAAAGTTCTTGTTCCTTGCAAGTAGCGAAGGATTCTCTTGGCAGCCAACAAATGTATTTCTGTAGGATTTTCCATATACCTGCTAATTAAACACACAGAATACATTATGTCTGGTCTTGTTGCAGTGAGATACATCAAACTTCCCACAATTTGTTTGTAGAAGGTGCTGTCAACCTTCTTTCCTCCATGATCTTTATGTAACTTCAAGCCACATTCAACTGGAGTGTGCACAGGATTACAATCCTTCATCTGAAACCTGTCTAGAATATCTTCCACATATTTATTTTGAGAAATAAAAATTCCATCACTTGATTGTGCTACACTTATGCCAAGAAAGTAATGCATCATACCAAGATCAGTCATTTCAAACTCATTCATCATAGACTTTTTAAATTCTTCAAACATAACATCACAATTTCCAGTGAATATAAGATCATCTACATATAAGCAAACAATAAGCATTTTTCCTTCATCACCAATCTTAACAAAGAGTGTATGTTCATAAGGAAACTTTATAAAACCAGCCTTAAGAAAATAAGACTCAATGCGACTATACCAAGCTCGAGGGGCTTGTTTTAGTCCATAAAGTGCCTTTTTCAATTTGTAAACTTTATGCTCATTTCCAACTTTCTCATAACCAGGGGGTTGTTCAATAAATATTTGTTCCTCTAAGTACCCATGCAAGAATGCCGATTTGACATCTAGCTGGTAAATAGGCCAAGAATTTTGTGCAGCCAATGCAACCACCAACCTGATTGTATCATGTCTCGCAACAGGAGAAAAAACTTCTGTATAATCAATCCCATATTGTTGCTTGTACCCCTTGACAACCAAGCGTGCTTTGTGCTTGTCAATTTCACCATTTTCTTTTAACTTTGTTTTAAACACCCACTTCACACCAATGATTTTGTGTCCATTTGGAAGATCAGTTAACTCCCAAGTATCATTCCTCTCAATTGCATCAATTTCAGCATCCATTGCTTTTCGCCATTTTTCTTCTTTGACAGCACTCTCAAAAGTCACGGGATCACATTCTGAAAACAAAGCAAAGTGAGTAATTGGATCTTCAATTCCAGTTACCTCATAATCTTCCATCCAAGTAGGCCTTCTTCTAACACGACGAAGAGATTGAGTTTCTTCTTCGTTAACTCCAACTACTGTTGGTGAGGATTGACTAGCTGAAGAAGTTGCAATGGACGAATTTTCAGGCATACTAGATGCTGAAATTTGCTCTTGTTCAGAATCAATATCACAAAGAACTTCGGTAGGCTGCTGCATATTCCAATCCCAAGTGTTTTCTTCGTCAAAAACAACATCCCTGCTAACCACAATTTTTTTCGTCAGTGGATTAAATAATTTATATGCTTTAGATGTATCACTTACACCTAGAAAGACACATTTTTCAGCCTTGTCATCAAGTTTTTTTCTTTTCTGTTCCGGGACATGAGCATATGCAATGCATCCAAAAATTCTAAAGTGATCCACATTTGGTTTTCTCCCACTCCAAGCCTCTTCTGGCGTCATATTTCGAACTGCAAAGGTTGGACTTCTGTTCAAGACATGAATGCACCAGTTTACTGCTTCTGGCCAAAACGTCTTTGGAACTCTTCCTCTTACCAACAAGCTTCTAACCATGTTGAGGATGGTTCTATTCTTCCTCTCTGATACACCATTTTGTTGTGGTGTATACGCAGTTGTAAGCTCTTTTCAGATGCCATGTTCTTCACAAAAAGCTTCAAATTCTTTTGAGCAATATTCACCACCACGATCTGTGCGAAGTGTCTGAATCATCCTTCATGTCTCATTCTCCACACGAGCTTTGAAATTTTTAAATGTAGAGAAAGCTTCTGAACATTTGTTTCTACAACATGAGGTAATTATTTTTCTACAACATAACAAAATTATTTCCCTTCATAAAAAATAGAAATAATCTACAACTTGTATAGTTGACAAATTCTAGAGTACTTTTTGAGTAATACTCCTAATGTACGATTGGGATTTGAGCTAAGTTTTATAATGCAATAATTTTAATTTATGAATGAGAAGGATTAATTTACACCAATGTAAAATAGTAAATCAGACA